GTTAGCCAGGATGGTCTCGATCTCCTGACCTCGTGATCCGCCCGCCTCGGCCTCCCAAAGTGCTGGGATTACAGGCGTGAGCCACCGCGCCCGGCCAATTTCAAGGATTTTTAACTAGAGGTTCAATATTCTTTACCCATGAACCTTTTAATTTTTACAATTTTTGTGTGTGCCTGTGTGTGTATGTGTATGTGTGTTTCTGGGTAAGGGTCTATAGCTTTTGTTAGATTCTTAAAGAGCTACTTCAAACAGTAAAGAGTCAATGAGTTTATGAGCAGAATCAATCAATCATCAATCAATCAATCATATATCTGCCCATCTAATCTATAGATATGCAAGTTATAACTTTAAATTATATACCTATGCAGTTACTTGTAATAAAATATATTGAATTAATGTTATAACTTTTAATCTTTTTCTCTAGTTGTTAAAATTATTTGTAAATATTGCAAATGATTTCATAAAATAGATGTAGCAAGATGCAGTTACTTTTGTATTACTGAATACTTAGCATAATTCAAACGTGCTGCCATTTAAAATATGTTATTATAAAATATGTGAATGTGTTTAAGTATCAGTACGTATTTTAGATTAGCTTTTTAAACTCCTAAGTATTGAATTATTGGGCCAAAAAAGTGAGTATTTTAATATTGCTTACTTAATGTTATGAAATTGCTCTCAAGAAAGTTTATTTCAATTTAAAATTTTACTATGAGTGTTAGGAAGTGCGCTTCTCATAACACACCTGCCAGCACAGTGTGTTGGTATTTTCACTTTATTCGGTCTTCACAATGACCATGTTAATTAATTTTTATTTCCATTTTATAGCTGAGGAATTGGAATATAGTTTTAAGGGAGGAGACCACCCCTCATATTGTCTTATGCCCAATTTCTGCCTTCAAAGAAAGAAGTAAAAACTAAAAGGCAGAAATGGAATCCACAGGCAGATAGCCCAGCACTGCACCCTGGGCCTGGTAGTTAAAAATCAACCCCTAACCTGACTGCTTGTGTTATCTGTAGATTCCAGACATTTGGAAAAGCATTGTGAAAATCCCTGTCCTGTTCTGTTCCATTCTGATTACTGGTGCATGCAGCCCCCAGTCACATACCCCCTGCTTGCTCAATCAATCATGACCCTTTCACACAGACTTCCTTAGAGTCGCAAGCCCTTAAAAGGGCAGGAATTGCTCACTCAGGGAGCTCGGTTTTTTGGAGACGTGAGTCTGCTGATGCTCCCAGCTAAATAAAGCCCTTTCCTTCTACAACTTGGTGTCTGAGGGGTTCTTGTCTGTGGCTGTTCTGCTACAGTTTTATACCCAAGAATTAAAATGCAGTTTTTCTTGCCAAGAAAGTATGCCACTTAGAAAAGCATTTGTTGTTGTTGTTGTTGCTGTTGATTTTTTTTTTTTTTTTGAGACGAAGTTTCACTCCTGTTCCCCAGGCTGAAGTTCAATGGCATTACCTCAGCTAACTGCAACCTCTGCCTTCTGGGTTCAAGCGATTCTCCTGCCTCCACCTCCCGAGTAGCTGGGATTATAGGCTCGCACCACCATGCCCAGCTAATTTTTTGTATTTTTAGTAGAAACGGGGTTTCCCCATGTTAGCCAGGTTGGTCTCAAACTCTTCACCTCAGGAGATCTGCCCGCCTTGACCTCCCGAAGTGCTTGGATTACAGTGTGAACCACCGCACCCAGCCTGTTACTGTTGATTTCTAAAAATTTTACCAAGTATCTTGAATAAAATCCACCTACTTTGCAAATATTAAAGACTTATAAAATAGATAAGGGAAGCAACTGACTTACCCAGTCTAGGAGAGGCTCGTTAATCCTCTGGTACTGGCCTGCCAACACAAACAGACCGAGCATTATTTTAATCACCGTGGTAGCTCCAAATATCAAAAAGACTGGGCCCTTGTTTTTCTCCAGAAATCTTTTGTCAGTTTTAATTAACTTACCTTGATTATGATTTTTCAAAACTAAAGTGCATTTTTGTTTATTTCCCATTTTACCTGTTGGTCTTGCAAAACAGGGACAAAGAAAAAGGAGAAAAGAGAATAGAATTCAAATCAATCAGTGACTTGGAGGTAAGAAACCTCTACTGTAGCAGGTCAAAATTCTCATTGCAAGAGAAAAATAATGTTAGAAGACCTCTCATAGCAATTGCTCCCGAAGTCATGAGTCAGCAGCAGCTCAGCTAATGATGAGGTTTATTTTTCCCTTCTCTTCCCCCACAAGCCACAGCATGTTGCAATTGCAATAATCTGTCCATACATCTGTCTCCTGAATAGACTATAAGTGTTCTGAGGACAGAAGTCATAGCTATTCATTCATCTATTTCTAGCGCCAGGCATAAGACCCCACATTGAACAACTGAGTTATGGACCAGGTGTTTCCTGAATGAAAACACAGCAGCTGTCTTTTCTCAGCACTCAACACTCTTATTTGGGCTTGTTTTATGAAAGATTGCCTGGGGTCATTCAGCCCACTCAGTATTCTATGTTTAAAAATTTACCCTCAGATTATGCAAAACCACTGCAGATTTTTTCATTCTTGATAAACTTTATTTTCCTAAATCGTATTGTAGTTCCTTGCTATTAGCCTGCATCGGGGAGCATTAGAAACAATTCTATTTTAAATTTCTTTTTTCAAATCAAATTCTCTTTATTAGCACTTATGTGAGAAGTTTCTTTCAGGTCTTAGGAGCAGAAGCTGCATGCTTTTTAGTGACTGGTTTGCTTTGATTTAAGGATATTTCCCTTCTTCCTTTGGCTGCCGAGAAATTCAGGATAAATTTCTGAATTTCATCTAAGTATTGTAGAGGACCATGATATGATAAGCATTTGTACATCTTGTTTTGGCTTTAATATTTTCCTTTTTTTTTGTTTTGTTTTGTTTTGTTTTTTGAGACAGAGTCTCGCTCTGTCACCCAGGCTGGAGTGCAGTGGTGCAATTTCAGCTCACCGCAACCTCTGCGTCTCGGGTTCAAGCGATTCTTGTGCCTCAGCCTCCCAAGTAGCTGGGATTACAAGAGCACACTACCACGCCCGGCTAATTTTTGTATTTTTAGTAGAAATGGGGTTTCACTATGTTGACCAGGCTACTCTCGAACTCCTGACCTCAAATGATCCACCTGCCTTGGCCTCACAAAGTGCTGGGATTACAGGCATGAGCCACGGTGCCTGGCCTTTTATTTTCTTAAACATCAGTTCTTTCACTCTGAATTCCCTTATCTTACCAAAATATGAAATAAAGAGTTGTTAATTGTATCAGCATGCCCAACTCTTTTGTAAGGTGTAATGTACAAATTAATGCAAATTTGGCTCAGTGGAAACACAGTTCTCTGGAATTTGCCTAGGACCAGTGCATATGGGAAGTGTTAATGAGACATTATTTCTCCTTGAAATAATGAGCTGGGAGGAACAGAATCTAGCCGGCACCTGTCCCCGGTCCCAGCCCATCCTTGTGGCTGGATAGCAGCTCTGGGGCACTGACACCTTCCTGACCCAGCACAATTACATCCCCACTGAGATCCCTGGCAGAGAAACCAACACGTTTTCCAGCCCTTTAGAGCAGCAATTTGTACTCTCTCATGAATCGAGTTAAATTAATAAGGTCACCCATTAAAGACCAGCTGGCCCGGAAGGAGCAAATGAGCTCAGAATTATTGGGGATCTGCTCTGGCCCTCGTTATCGAGGAAAACAACTCCACTGTCTAATTCAGGGTTCGATATAATTTCATTTTAGGAAATTGGCCTCAAGGAGTGCAGTCATGATACTGACATCTTCTTGGGAGCTGCGGGATTTCCTTTCTCACCGGAGGCAAGCGTTCCAGCCTGAGACTCTCCCAGATTCCCCGAATACGCTTCATGCTCCTTCTGTGTCTGCTGGTGCAGACCCTGCCTGGAGCCCCTTCTCCTTCTCACCTCCCCTTTGCTTCCCAGATGCTCATCGTCCTTTCAGATCCGATTTCCCTGCTTTTCTCTCTGACTACTCCAGGCCACGTCAGTCTCACTGAATTGTTAACATATGTGTTTTCTGTCTCACTCACCATGACATTTAAATATGAATAGGCAGGATCTGATTACTTTTTTGTTGTATGTTCTTTAGGGAAGGAATTGTCTTTTATCCTTCAATCTCCCTGAGTACCTATCTGTGTCATCAGTGCAGAGTTTTGAAAATGTAATTTTAAAGCATGATCCTAACACAGTGCATCAGTTCATGTCACTCGTTGCCCATGTCATACAGACCAGGTGCCCTGTGTGGCCCCCAGAGCTCAGCACAACCTGCCCCATCCTGTTCTCTGACCTCATCCCTTTCCAGCCTCTTCTCTCCTGGACCAAACTGTAGTCAGGCTATCCTGAACTCTTTTCTCTGCGAGGCCCACCTTGTGAGATTCCACATTCATTTCTGCATTGTCCAATTTTTGCAAGACTCCTACTAAGTCAGTTTAGCCAGAATCTCCCATTCTCCATGCCTGATCAGCCTCCATATCTCATCCAATCAGGGCCCTCCTCTGCCACCTTCCTCCCGTGATGTCTGATCACCTTGGCCTGCCTTCAGCAAGAATCTTTTCAGGTCAGTTTAGCCAGAAACCACCTCTGTCCCCGCCCTTTCCCTTACCCCTGAGGTTTCCTCTTTGTAATTTTCCTTTCCCAGACCTTCACGCTGCTACCTTTAAGGTAGGAGACCACCCCTCATATTGTCTTATGCCCAATTTCTGCCCCCAAAGAAAGAAGTAAAAAATAAAAGACAGAAATGAAATCCACAGGCAGACAGCCCAGCGCCACACCCTGGGCCTGGTTAAAGATCGACTTCCGACCTAACTGGTTATGTTATCTATAGATTCCAGACATTGTATGGAAAAGCATTGTGAAAATCCCTGTCCTGTTCTGTTCCGTTCTGATTACTGGTGCATGCAGCCGCCAGTCATGTACCCGCTGCTTGCTCAATTGATCATGACCCTCTCACGTGGACCCCCTTAGAGTTGTAAGCCCTTAAAAGGGACAGGAATTTCTCACTTGGGGAGCTCGGTTGTTGGAGACGTGAGTCTTGCCAAAGCTCCCAGCCAAATAAAACCCTTCCTTCTTTAACTCCGTGTCTGAGGGGTTTTGTCTGTGACTTGTCCTGCTACACCTCTCCTATAAATTTCCACTTGTCTTTATTGTATTCTGAGTTGAGCCCAGTCTCTTTCATACTGCAAACACTCATTGCAGTAATCCTTTACCTATCTCCATCATCTGGAATAAAGCTTGTCTCACCATTCTGCAATAAGAATCATGAAACTCTTCCTTTACCTCTTTCTCACCTCTGACTTCAGCTGTTTCAGCTAGCTTCTCCTTGAGTCTCCCAGCACACCCAGCTCACGCTACTTCAGGAGCTTGCACCACCATCCCTCTGTCTATAGCCCTCTTTTCTTGGATCTGCCCATGCCTGGATCTTTGTCCACTATCCAACTGTATCTGAAATGTCATTTCCCCTGGAGGGGGCTTTCCTGACCACCGATGTCAGGCAAAAATTAAAGAGCACCTCTCCAGCCCTGTACCTCACCACCCCTGGCACCTGGGATGGCAGTGAGAATGCTGCACACATGTGTGCACCAGGCCTGTCTCCTTTTCCTGTGGTGCTTGGCTGGTGTCCATATCTCTCCTTCCCCTGCCCTGGGCAGGCGAGTGGGCATGGCATGGATCTCCCACCCCTGGGGTGTTGGCTGTGATGGAATCTAGGTTGCCCTACTTGACCTTCTATGCTCTTGATCTTGCCTCAGTGGCTGGGCAGAGACCCCAAGGCCCATGCGGATGATGGAAGCTGTTGGGTAAAAGGGAAGTGAATCACAATGACTGTTTGGAAAAAGCCTTCCTTTGATCCACATTGGATTGTGATGTGAGGAAGAAATAAACCTTTTTTACATTCCACTAACATTTGTAGTTTATTCATTGTAGATGGTAGTCCTCCCTGATTAATACTTTTTTTTTTTTCAAGTTTCTCCATAGCATCTAGGAACAAAGCTAACCAATAAATAATCTAGTTACAAACTATGGTACCTGCCTCCCCCCAGGCAGTGGCAAGACTTCAGGCTTCCGATGGCTCCTGCAATGCACGTGTAGCAGAGATGGGCATACGGTGAATGCACAATCAATAAACAGTCAGTTGTCAAATACAGAATGCAGTACAGCAGGAACATGTCAGAATCGGGAAGCAGCGACAGAACCTTCCTGCTCCCGCGCAGAGCGAACAGAGCTTTACACTTCCTCTCATGGACCCAGATCCCCACCAAAGTGGCTCAACCCAAACCCTTCCAGGCATTCGCATCTTCCTGGACCTGAAAGAAAGATTGGCTTCCTGGGACCATTTTCTAAAAAGAGAAAGGGAGTTGCTCAGTAGATTTCACATCTGCATCCTGGGAGAGTTGTGGTTGTGTTGCGTGGATGTGTGGAGTCATTCATCACCCACAGACACCAGACAGCTCCAGAGAACAGCTGACTTCTGTGTTTCCCTCAAGGAAACATCTTTTTGCAAGAAACAATGTCCCTTTGAAAGTTATTTTTAAGAGGGAAGTGAAGATAGATATACGCAGTATAAAGCCCTGGAGAGCCTCCTGATAGCCAGAAGGCAGTTACTCCAGCCCTGTGGCTGTCCCTTGAACAACTCTTCTTGTGTCTGCAGAGGCCCAGCCAAGGATGACAGAGGTGCTTGGCCAATACGCATCCAACTGAGGTCCCTTGACCATTTGCATCAGACTCACCTTGGGAGCTGAAGAAAGGAAACAAGGCAAAACCTGAGTCCCAGAGCAAACCAGTTGAATCAGTCTGGTTTTTTTTTTCCTCCAGCTCCTCTGGTGACA